CTTTTGTTTCCGGCTTTGCTCCAATCCTTGGCTCTGCGCAGAGGTGAGGGGGGGAGCTCCTGTAGGCCAAGTCAGGGCTTGCAGCAAGTCCCAGCGAGGCTTTCCCCAGTTGGCTCTCAGGCAGAGCCCTGCCCTGCCTCACTCAGACCCGAATGAGCAGGGGAAGGAGTGTTAGGGACGCTTACCCTCAATCCACTCTGCTATAGGAATGCCTAAGTGCAGCGGAAGAATGAAGTTTGCTCGGAAGGGCGTAAAGAGGTGCCCAAGGGCACCTAAGATGTTTGCTTCTTGCTAAATCAAAAATGCAGAACAGAAAATGGAGTCAACAGACCGCCAGGAAGGCAAGTGAATCAGCTCTTCTTACCGGCTGCTCTTGGTTACGGTCAACTTTCCACAGCCCCCAAAAACATCACATCACTGGCACCGACTTAAAAGGAAGAAACAAAGAGACAACAGGGGTCAAACTCTGGGGTGGAGGAGCTGGGGGTTGGGGGTGGGGGCGAGTCATGGGCTTGAGACCCACATCAATTATCCCTGCACACTGACAGGATTCCTGATTGAAGATGGTAGTCATGAAGGAAGGCGGTGCTGCAATGGCCCAGCCCCCAAATTGGGGCAATTACTACCTTACGAGCTCTGGGGCCTGACTCCTTTCCCAGGCCAGTGGGAGGAAGAGCTTGGAATTCTAAACTGTTCCAGCTCCAAGAGACCTCAGCCAGCACCTCTCACCCCAGGTCACAGCAATCTGAGAGATGCCTGGCCTCATCCCTGATCCCAGAGTTTTAACAAGGAAGCTCCCAGAGGAAAACCCCATCTCCTAGGACCTCTCCCGGAAAACTAAGGTGGCGTGGGCTCCCTAGACCATGGTAGAGAGAGCTTCACAGATCTCATTTCTGGAAGTATGCACAGGAGGGGAACTATGCTTAGGTTTCATGAGGTTTTCAAGGTGGGGTGGGAGGAAGGGGCAAGATCTTTAAAAGAGAAAAGCAAAAAACCAGGTGAAATGAAGGGCTGACCTTCCATTTTAGCACACGACACTACAGTATAATGATCTGTTTACCTAGCTCCCATAGTCCAAAGATAAGAACCATCTCTAATCTACTTATGCAAATATGCTAAAAACCAGCTAACATTTATCCAAGCCTGCAGTAACAGAGTAGGCTGTGTTGAGTGGTATTATCTCATTTAATTTTTACAGTAGTCTCCTGTGATAATTTATTACTACCCCAGCTCTCCCCTCATTTACGTATAAGAACTCTGAAGTTCAGGGAGAGTGTTTTGCGTAAAGTCACCAAGAAGTACCAAAGTCAAGATTCAAACCCAGGGATGCCTCTGCTGCTTAATCACCGAGCTATGCACGCGGTGATTAACATTAGTGCTTGGCAAATGTGTGTTTGCTGAATGAATGAACAAATGAATGGGTGCAGAGCCCAATTTAGGGAATGCTCCTGAGTGTATCTGGGAGAAGGAACCTGAGCCTGTCAGCTCTAAGCTAGATGGAGAGTGATAAGCACAGGCATTCTTTGGAGCTATTTATAGGGCCAAACCCAGGCTCTGCCAGCCAACCAGTCAGTGGGAAGTCTTTCCTGGGACACGGAATCCCACCATGCTGAGAAGGGGAGAAGGACTTCTCTGGCTGAAGATGAGATGCTAATTCAGACACTGTCTGGGGTCCAGATGCCCCATGCCTAGGCAACTGTGGGCAAAACTTGTGGCTGGGCTTCACCAAGGAATGTAGAGATTGTGGCGGGAACACGCTCTAACAGACTTACTCAACCAAGGGCATGGGACTGTCTCATAATTATGAGATGTGCCCGATCATTAAAAAAAGACAAATATTCCTAAAGTGGTCCCTGAAATTCCCTATCCAGGAAGTGCGTAGTATTGATCTTCTCTTCAAAGGAGAAGCAACATAGCCAATCCTTCCTATTTTTCCTCTTCTTAGGGATCAAGAGTAGCAGCCAATCAGTAGAAAGAGTGAGCAAAGACCTATAAAATACTCTGTCCTCTGTGACCTTCTGTGTTCTTTGCTGGTCCAGAAGATGGACATACCCAACATGTTCTGTATCAGACATAGCCAGACTGGTTCCCTTGCACCTGTCATTCTTAATACCCTGTTCCAGTCCCAAAGATGTTATCTGATATTCAACAGGGGACAGAAGAGGAAATCCAAAATCAGTGACAAGCCAAGCATCTTTCACAAGTCCAACAAGATCAGGGACAAGGTCATCCAAGCACCATGACAACAATCAGATGGAAAGGAGACCATTCTCAGCTCTACGTTTTTGCACTCACCTCAGAAATAGCCTTCTATCTACCTAAGCACCTGAGCAGAATTTTCAGCTTTTTGCTTACCTGGAAGAGATCTCCAAGACAAACATGGTTTCTACTCTTCCAACCGTGGTACACTGCCTGAGGCCTCACCTCAACCCTCAGGAGAAAGACAGCCAGGGCTATCACCAGCAATCAAGTTTCTTAACAAAACTTTTAAGGTTGGAGGGTTATGTAGGTTCAGGCCAAACACACAGGCTCTAGGAAAAGCCCATAGGACTAGCAGCATCCAAGTAAGCACCTTAAACCTTAGTGTATTTTATTTTAAAATATTATTTATTTATTTATTTGACAGAGATCACAAGTAGGCAGAGAGGCAGGCAGAGACAGAGGGAGGGGGAAGCAGGCTCCCTGCTGAGCAGAGAGCCCGTTGTAGGGCTCCATCCCAGGACTCTAGGATCATGACCTGAGCCGAAGGCAGAGGCTTTAACCCACTGAGCCACCCAAGCACCCAAACCTTAGTGTATTGCATCCATACTATAAAACACTGTCTTCTTCATGAGCCCCTGGAACATAGTATTAGGAAGCTTCTTGGTGATATTTCTGGTTGAGCAACTGCTCAGTCTCATTGGTAAACCATGAATCTGTCCTCTCCCCCCACCCTCTACCTCCCCCAGACCTCCAAGGATGGTTCAGTATCAAGTTAGGCAAAGTTTAGATCTTCCTGCCACTAAGTGTCCTTACACATGTGCACAGGAAGTCTCCCGTGCTCAGAAGTTTCTATGAAAGTTTTTGTCCTTGTCCTTGGATAAATAGTAATAATAATTAATTTTTATCTTTAAAAAGAACCCAAAAGAGTTATCAAGAACCCTCCCATCCTTTCTCTGTGAAGCATTAAATATACGCAATTTTCTACCTCCATTCTCAGGGCAGATGTAGTGTATGCACTTTTGACAGCTCTGGAGCAATAAAATTCTCTGGGACAGTCTCAGCCCAGAACCTTCCAGCTCCCCTTTCCCTAGGGCAGAAGGCGACAATCTCCTCTCTGGGTTTGTTGGTATCCGTTTTAGCCTTTTTTTTTTTTTCCTTCCCTTTTTTTCTTTTTTCCCAGTGCCGTGCCATTTCCCTTGATCTTTTTCAAAACTTCCTCCAGGGGGCCGAGAGGAAAGTTCCATCCCCTTCTCTTGCAGCCCGAAAGGGGAAACCCCCCCCAAAAGCATAGCTGTCCCTTTAAGGGGCCCATGTGGTGGGAAGAGCAGCTACATTCCTACCCCAGTAGGGCCGCTGTCCCGACACGCCAAAGAGGCTACAAATAACCTTCTAGGAGAGAGCCCGGGCGGGGGAGAGCACAGTGCGAGGAGGAACGTGGCTCGGCCCGGCTACTACTCCGAGAGGAAGAACTCAGTCGGCGTTAGAGAGGGCATGGAAAAAGTTGTTTAAAACCCACGGGTAGTTTAAATAACAGACACGAGAACTCTGTTTTGGATTTGGGAGGTAAACCAATCTTTAAAACGAGTGCCCAGGCATCTCCACGCCCTGCCAGGCAAGTTCCGAAATCGGCACAGCTTCCACACGAGCTCCGGGAGCACGCTAAAGAAAGACCCGGTGCAAGCCGGGCCAGGGTCTAGAGAGACCCCTCCATTCCGAACCCCACCCCCTCATCGGGGCTGCGAAAATGAGAAGGTTCGCATCTCCCCCAGCTGAATAGGGTTGGGGTTCAAAGATAAAAGTTCTTTGATCTTTGGGCACAAACTGGAGGGAGCTGCTAAATCACGGGGTACACCCTCGGTGCTAGGCAGCTGCGGAGAACTAGATTCCACTGGAGCCCAAATCACACACAGCAGTTGCGTCCGGGCACTAAACAAGTTATTAATAAGGAGCAGATGAAGCAGCAGTTCTGCTGCCATCCGTCCAGCTCCCCCGAGGGTCACCGCGCGGACCCGAAGCCTGCCTTCTGATGTTCGGCGATAACCGCCCCCCGCCCCACTACTCCGGCCAGGACGGCTCTGCCGGAGCCTTCCAGCAGTTTCTTCCCCTGTGTCCCTCCTCTGCCCCTTTTCCTACCCGGTTCCCCCCGCCGGGAAGGATCCAGGGCAGGAAGCTGATTGGTCGCAGCCAGGAGAGGGAACCCAAAACACCACTAAGAGGAGATGCTGCGAGCAAGCAGTACCCAAAGACCCTCGGTGGGAGCAAGGTCTGGAGACCGAGGAACTAACTGTTCCCCGAGTAGAGGAATCCCCAGAACCCAAGTATTCCGATTGTACTGGAGCCCAGCTCCGAAATCCGCCCGAGACCCCCGGTCCCTGCAAAGAGGGCTTTTTACAATTTATGGTTTAGCGGCCATCCTTGGCCCGCCTCCCTTTCTTCGCACACATTCATTCGCACCGAGGACGCAGAGACCCTGTCTTAACCTGAAAGGGAAGCAGCCCCTAGTTCTTCAAAGAGCAGCGAGGGAAGGCGAGCGGGAGCCTCGGATCTTCCCGGAGCCCGGCCCAGATCCCAGCCGCGGAGCGGCTCCACGGCCGCCGCTCTCGGGCTGGAAGAGCTGGGGGAGCTCCTGCTCCTCTCCCCCGCACGCACGCTCAGGGCTGCTGCTTGGAGAGAGGGCGCGGGGTCTCAGGCCCCAGCCCGCGCCGCCGGGTTTGCGGGAGGTGAGTCCTGCAGCGGCCGGACCCACGGACAAACTTTCCCGGCGGGCCAGGAGGCGCGGGCACCGCGGCGCCGCTTACCGTGTGCGCAGAGCAGGGCGCCAAGCAGCAGCGCGCCCCACGGCCGCCTCATGGTGCCGCGGCCGCCGCCGGCGCTCCCTGTCGGCCGGGGGTCCCGCGGGCTTCCGCGGGACAGCGCGGCGGAGGGAGTCGGCACAGGGTCCCGGAGGGGGAAGCGTCCGGGTCCGCGGCGGGCGGGCTCGCCCCGCAAGTCGCCCTCCGGCCGCTGCTGCCTCCAGTGCTGCCGGAGCCGAAGCCGCCCCGCCAGGGGACCGGGAGGGGGTGTCCCGGGCCAGGCCGCCCCGCCCCCCGCGCCGCAGCCCCCGCCACCGCCACCGCCCCTGGTCCCGCCCCCAGCGCCGGTCCGGCCCCTTCCCGCCCTCGGCCCCCGCCCCCCGTCCCCGGCCCCCACCCGCCAGCGCCTCCTGCGCTGGCCGGGCTCCTCTTCAGGCCGCCCCCACATTCCTCGTCCTCGAGAGAGCCCCCCTCCGTGTCCCCACTACTACTGCTCAAATGTCCCTGAATTTAAACATTATCCCAGCGGCAACTCTCGATCCCTCTCACTCTACTCTGTGCCAGAGAGGAGCACCCGGGCTGACCCAAGTCGCCTGGACGTGACCCCGGCCCCCCTACCAGCCCCAAGACAAGACTTTATTGATGTCTCAGAATAAGCAAGGCTTGCTAATGCATAATCCTCCTAGGTCTTTATTAACATCAAACAAGGGACATCAGGGGGCCTGGAGGGCTGTATCTTAACTAGCATTCTCACTGTCAAAATTCCTTTTCTGAGATTTTCGTCTTGCACCACCCCCACTCCGGTCTAGGCAGCGTTGTTCTAGGGCTAAATAATTCCACGACCTCCCCTTTTCATTTACTCATTTCCTGAGGTGGTTGTCTGGGTCCTCTCGCCCCAGCTCAGACGTCCAGAATTGACCCAGACATAGTTCCTCCTCGCTGTCTTTGTAAATCGGCGTTGTTAGCCTCTTCCCCTTCTTTGACTTTCTGATCCTGGCAAGGAAGGAAGGGGGTAAGGAAGTAAGTCTTTCCTTGCACTTGCACTTTCCCAGAGACTGGAGCCTCCTCCGGGCTTGCGTCTGTAGGGCCTTACAGCAGCATTTAACTTGCCCCTTACTGCAGAAAGTTTTAAACTCCTCTCTTGTCTTCGCTTCATGGCCCGTGCTCTCTCCAGAGTGTATTAATAATATGAATTAATTCTGGGTGGTTTTTTTTTTTTTTTGGTTGAATCTTGTCTTGTTATTTCTGTCCAAGCCCACAGCTTCCTTAGCGTCTTCTTATCAGTTTTCCCTCCAAGCTGGTATGCCAACATTCCCCAGCTTTGGGTCTTCCGCAGTCTCATTAAACCACGTTCCTCTTGCAAGTAAATAGAGTCCAGAAGACCCAAATGCTCCATGTCAGCCGAGGGAAAAGCAATATGGTATCGTGCAAAGTGGAGATTAGGAGATTTCTCCGATGGCTAGGTGGGCATTTCATCCTTGCTTGTTTTCAATATTGCAAAGGTTTTCCCTTCAAATCATCATCTTTGACCAAAGCTAACGTGAACTTTGCAACAGCAGCAACAACAAGTGAAGTGTTAACTCCTTTAGCTGGTACTTCTTTATACTGTTCTGCCTGAAATTTTTACACAGGTGAAATGTGGTTGAATCAGCATCACCATGGTAACTAATGCCGAGGCATTTTCTCTGTTTGTAGTTCTTCTTGCTGACTGAAGGCGGCAGTCGAGTCAGGTCAGTTTTACTGGATCCTACTGCTAGGAAAGACCGTCGACCTTGATGACCTAGGTCACATTAGCCTAAAATCCAAGGAGAAAGAAGTGGAGAGTGGAAGCTGATTCTAACACCCATTTCTCTCACCCCCACCCCCACCCCCCCACAATGTTTGTGATGTGGCCTTGGCTGGTCTCAGGGTTTCAATATATGCTGTCTATGCTTTTTGACCTGCTGAGAAAGATCTTACGATTCTGGAGACCACATTTTTTTCCACACGAAAACTAAGGACATGTGGTATAATGAATACATTTGTCCCAAAAAATCCAGGACACGCAGTCACCATACTTTCAATGTCAGGGGATTAAGAATTTATAAACATCTGTATTCGAAGGATAGGTTTCCTTCCAGAAGGCATGATTTATGTTGTTTTTCTGGGATTGAGGAGGAAGGGGGAAGCTGGCTGTCCCTGCCTGACTCAGGCTCAAGAGGCTGCATTTTGTGTGTGCATCCCAAGGCCTCCTCCTCCGTGGTTCAGTGCGGTTCTGGTGCACAGAGCCATCCCTGGCTGCTGTGAGTCATTGGGAATATCAATGGGTAGAAACGAACTTCGTGCATAGTCCCTGCCTGGGTCACCCCCTAGGGTGAGTTAAGTCTTGGCTGTCAGAAACTGCTCTTATGCCAGGAGTGCTAAGCCATATTTATTTTTACCAGGCCTCTCAGACTTTCTTGTTTGGAGTGAGAGATCCTGAAAAGCATGCCAGAATGGGCTGTTTGTCTCCCTTTTATTGTCCTTTGGGACATGCCCCTAGAAAATTTGCCAATTCCAAAGGGGTCCCAGAGGCATTAGTTTCCTCAGAAACACCACCCCTTCCTTCATCCTTCTAGGACAGACCAGGGAACTGAGTTTCCAAGATCAGAATATTGCCCTGAATTAGACCATCACTAATGGCCTTTTCAAAGGAAACACAGGGAGTGCTACAGAAACCAGATAGAAATGGGCACTATTTTGATCCAGCTGGATTGGAATAACTCTCTTATAACCTAGGCATCATTCATTCAGCAACCTGAATTTCTAGATATAATCCATCTGAAAGAGTAAAAGGCCTGAAGTTTTACACTTTAAAACAGTGGTTCTCAGTCAGGAGTGATTTCGCAGACATGGGGCAATCCCAGGAGACATTTTGGGAGTGGGTGCTATTGGCAATGAATGGGTAGACTCCAGGGACGCTGGGAAACAACCTCCCATGAGCAGGACATCCTCCCTGCAAAGAATGATATAACCAAGAATTATCCATCCCCACATTTTAATAGTGCTGAGGTTGGGAGACCCTGCTTTCAAAGATTAAGAACATGAGGGGAGCCTGGGTGGCTCAGACAGTTGAGTGTCTGACTCTCGATTTTGGTTCAGGTCATGACCTCAGGGTTGTGAGATGGAGCCCCATGTCAGGCTCCAAGCTCAGCACAAAGTCTGCTTGAGATTTCCTCTCCCTCTTCCACTGCCCCTCCCACTTGTGCTCTCTTAGTCTCACATAAATAAATAAATCTTAAAAAAAAAAAAAAGTTAATGTGAGTCTGCAAAGAATTGCTGCATCTACTCTCCAGAATCACCTTCTTGTTAACACAGCATGAGTGGAGGGAAAGAGTTCTTAAAGCTGTAGAAGGAAAAACAAGAAAAAGCACAGCTAAAGGAGCTAAAGAAGTCCTACACCTGCCACTTCTGCGTAGGGAGGCCTATTTCCAGTATTTGTTCACTTGGTAAGTATTTATCAAGGGCATATTATGTTCCAGGCAAGGTAGAGGCAGTTGTAAACAGATATATTGGGTTCCTGGAACTTAAGTCTGACGGTTGGGGTTGGAAGGAGATACAAGTATGCAGAGGCATTGAAAGAATGATCCCACGAATGAATTTAAAGTGATAAATGATAGGGACATTCAAGGAAAATTACTGAGATCTGTGAAAGGAGAAACTTGATTTAGATTTGGGGACTCAAGGAAGGCCTGTCTGAGGCACTGACACCTAAGCCGATCAAGAGTCACAGGCTAGGAGTGGGGGCAGAAGGCAGAAGGAACAGCATTTGCAAAGGCCCTGATCCAGGAAAGAGTCCAGAGGACTTATGGGAAAGTATCATTAACTTTTAGCAGTGGATGCTGTTATTTAAGTCCAGGGGGCTACTACTGGAGAGTGGGGGAAAAAATGAAAGTATAAGGAAAGAGTCTGATTGGCATTTTCTTTAATCACAAACGCTTCACACCACCATTTCTAGTGCCAATGCTTTTCATGTTCCAGTACAGCAGTGGTTCTCACATCAGGGGCTGGGGTACAATGGCTGATTCAGTTCTCAGGCCTAACTTGGGGCACACCCTGGAAAGCAAGATTTTCTACATATTTCTATCTCCTGAAAGCTTGATAGTCACACATCTGGCATATATAAGTAGAGTCTTTGCAGCAAATATCTCAATATATCTTGTTTATTTCACCAGCAAAGATAAATTTAGAATGGTGGATACACAAATGGAGCAATGAATAAACACATTTAATAACAAACATGAATCAAGCAACTATGCAAGTGGTCTCTCTCTCTCTCTTTTTTTTTTTTGAAGATTTTATTTATTTATTTGAGAGAGAGAGAGAGAGAGCATGAGAGGGGAGAAGGTCAGAGGGAGAAGCAGACTCCGCATGGAGCTGGGAGCTCGATGCGGGACTCAATCCCAGGACTCCAGGATCATGACCTGAGCCAAAGGCAGTTGCTTAACCAACTGAGCCACCCAGGAGCCCGCAAGTGGTCTCTTTGTTTTCACACTTGCCCTTTTGTAATTCATTCTCTACACGTACAGCAACCAGAGTGACTTAAGAAACATAAATCAGGTCGTGTCTTTATTAGGCTTAAAACCTTCTGATGGTTTCCTATTGCACTTGGAATAATATCCATGCTTCTCACGTGGACTTCGAGGTCCTTCATGACCTGGAATCTGCCTGCTACTTTGACCACTTCTCCCCTTATTCATTCTGCTCTGGCCACACTGGCTTTCTTTAAGCTCTGCAACATGCTAGCATTTCTTCCAATTTTTGCATGCGCTGTCTTTTTTTTTTTAAACTTAAAATACTGTTTCCCCAGACCCTTCCAAGGCTAGTTTCAGCTCAGCATCCCAGCTTCAGCAAAACCTCATCTTATCATCGTAAAGTTGCCTGTTCTCCCTCACGGCCTTTATCCTATTTTATTTAGGAAGTTAGATAAGATTTCCCAGGGTCAGGGCATTTAGCTTAAGTCTTATAGGATGTGTAAGAGTTTACTAGGCAGAAAATGTGGGAGAGGTACATTCTAGGCAGAAAGAAGTTATACCAAAGCAAGGTGGTGGGAAAGAGTTCAGTGTGTTTGGGAATAATGAGTAGGAAAATATGGCTGGAGTATTAAGTACGTAGGGAAGAGTGAATGGCAAGGTGGCTGGAAAGGTAGGTTGGGATCAGATTGTGAAGTGATGTACATTGTCTGCATGTTTAGGAATTTTGCTTCATCCTAGTAATGGTGAGTCAG